AATGTCTGCTCACGAGTCGAATCATCACTCACAGAAGGGAGACGGATCCTTAGTTTTGATAAAACTAATCTCATTGAAATTCATAATTCTCTCGATGATCACAAATTCACCATTGTCAATACCCGTACTCACGCTGTGGGCGCTTTCACCGCACACCGACCAACTCGCAACTCAACAGCCATAGTATCTCATAAAAACCACAGACTGATAAAACCAAGACAATACACCTTACATCTTGCAGAGTTTAAAAAGAGCAGTAGTATCATGAATCAACGGTGCAAACATTTCGGGCTCCTTAGCCACGAAATTTTTCGTAAACAAAGGCTTGCCAAACTGGGCAGTACACAACTTGAGAAAATCATTCGTATGGAACGTCCACTCTCCCCACTTAGTCGCCTCATAGCCGTTCGGGTTAATGCCTTCACTAATGATGAAGTACTTCGCTTCTAATTGTCGGATTTTGCCGAAAAACTTCTCGTAATCAGCTGGGGGCACATGACTTAGACACTGCTTGCAGAAGGCGATATCAATTTCCGGGTTGCCAGGCAGAATATAGTCGTACCCTTCAACGTGTTGAACCTATGGTCATCAATACGGCCGAGCACATACAGCAATGAAATCGGCATTTGTCAATTTGCAGCAGAGTTGACCACCACCAAAATTTTCTAGTGAAAAATAGTAACGAAGAGATCAGTTCTGGCTGGAGACTCTCAGACGAGTTGACGAGTGAATTTCTAGTCGAAAATACTTGAAATCCTCAGAAATTCTAAGATAGCCCTATTCGCATTTCGCTGATCATCTTATGTTCATACAACAATACTCAATACGTCTTCTATAACTATATTCGCGAGAAATTATATCGTATATTAGAGTTTCACGACCCATTTTACGTGAAAGTGGCGTAAAACTGGGCGATATAATATCGCCTTTCCCACCGAGTTTTACGCCACTTCATGAAATATGGGTGAAACTCCATTATGGAAAAAATGCTCGATGACTATTTGATTGTTACTATACGTATAGTTGAAAATGTCGGTATATAATTCAGCACAAAATAAAAGCAATTTCTCGCGAAAACATTTCCGAATTCACAAGAAGGCAAAAACAATGAAGTCGCCACAACAAATCGAACGAAAACTTACATGAAACTCATGCTTGGCGTTAGCAATACGAACACTTTTCTCGTTGAGGTCCACACCATACAGCAAATCGGGGTCAGCGCCTTCTGCTCTAAGGACGTCTAATATGCTACCGGTACCGCAGCCGATCTCCAGTATCTGTAAACGGAGGAATACATGTTCGCTCCCCTCAGCTGAACTCGGCAGTTTACAAACGAATTCAAAAAGAAGTGTAGTGAGAAGTGTGGGAAAATATGCGCATAATTAACTACATGTGCGAGTGAAATTTGAGGAAATTCTCGTTGGTTTCTATACACTTCTACCCGAATTCGCATATAAACTTATATAATTAGCGAGGAAATGAGGAAAGCAAACATATATTCCAACACCAAGACCAACAA